GTCCTGGGGTTTGTTGATGTCTAGTTTGGGTAAACTTGACGAGGACACATACTATAGAAATGATCCCTAGAGTACGGTCGACTAAAGAAATATCCCCTGGAACGGCAGCGCCGGCGGGCCCCCAAAGGCCACGTCCATGATCCGCCGGAGGCGAATTCAAACTTGCGCCCTCTGAAGAGCACCCAACCCCCGGGACTCGGCCCGAGCGGCCCTGGGCGCGATCGATCGCCCAAACCGCCGCCAAGGACCGGCCACAATCAGCCGATCGGCCTGCGGCCCGGAAAGGCGGCCAGCACAACAGGCCAAGCCTTGTGTTGTTCCCCGCCTCCGCCAGCCCCCCCCCCCTCCCCGCTCCCCGCTCCCTGCTCTCCGCCATCGCCCTTCATTGTCTTTCTGTCGGTGGGTCCCTACCCCCGGGCGGGGCCCTGTGGTTGTCAATGCGTCTTTGTCTATTTTTTTGGCTCCACCAAGCGGACGCATCGTTGTCACCGGTCATCAGCGGCCCCATCGCTGTCCGATTCGATGTCGGGCCCCGGGTCGGACTCGGCCCCAAGGTCGCCAGCGGCATCGGCTCCGACCCCGGCCCTGGTCCCAGGGCCGGTGTCATCCGGGCTCGACCACAGAGCCCCACCGCGCGCAGCCCCTTCTTCCCCGACCTCGTCGTCCTCATCTAGGTAGTAGGAGAAGATGGCATCCTCGTCCTCCTCGCCTGAGAGCCCATCCAGCATGGTCGGTGTCAATGCCGGCGCCAGGGTCCCGCCCTGTGTCCGATGCATGGAGTCACCGAGATGCTGCTGTGATGGCGGCTGAATGCCGAAGGCCAGGCAGGAGGATGCGTGAAGACGATGCTGATCATCCGCCGACCCGGCATCCGTGTAGTAGAACTCGTCTACCAGGTCGCCCAGGTTAAGGAAGTTCAGAATGCTGATGGCTGTTGGCCGGCGAGGAGGAACGGGCGCGTGAGTCAACTTGCAAAGATGGGCCCCCAGCAGGAGCGAGGGCGAGGGCAGAGAAGGAGAGCAGGAAGAAAAAAAAACCCCAACTCCATGCACAGACACACACACACACACATGAAGAAAAGGAAAAAGAAAGCGCACCGGCCTCACAGTGATCCTGGTCCGGGTCGTCGGGGAAGTTTGTATGGAGTGTTGTTGACACGCCAGGTGTCAGGCCAGCCCCAAAGCCGAAAGCGCCACGCGAGCGCTCCACAATTCCCAGCGACCGGGCCGATGCCTCCATGATCAGGATCACCTCGATGGCATCACCGATGGTGACTTCGGCGCGACGCATGAGGCGCGCATGCGCCTCCGACAGACGGATCAGACTCTCCAGCAGGCGAAGGGTCGTGCGCTGAGCGGGCGCTCCGCCACCGCCGCCGCCGCCGCCGGCCCCGGTGTTGTTGCCGGAATGCGAACGCTGCGCCTGGTAGTACGCCCCAAGAACCCGCGCAGCCGGTGGCGTCAGCGACGGGAAGAGCGACGTTCGCACATGGCTGAAGTAGGCCCTGAGAGTGGTCAATGGCCAGGCCTCCGGCTCGGCCCCAGCCTCGGGGGAGGCCAAGCCCGGTGCCGCGGCCGAGGAGCAATTCCTCAAAATGAACCCCGACACCGTCCTGTGGATGGGAAAAGCACACGGAAATGGCATGCTCACCGGTCAGGAGAAAAAAAAAGAGCAAGCAGGAGCAAAGAAGGGAAGGCGGCAAGACATGGAACGCACTCATCCCACACCTGCTCGCCACGATCACACAGGACCATCACCAAATCAAAGCGACTGATCAGCGGACTGGCGATGGCCGTGTTCATCTCCACCGACAGGCTGGGGTCGTACTTGCCTTTGGGGTTTGTGGCTGCCAGGATGGCGCAGCGCGCGCGCAATCGACACACCATCCCGGCCTTGGCAACGGACAGGGTCTGCTGCTCCATGGCTTCGTGAATGGCAGCCCGGTCATGCGTGCGCACCGAGCCAAACTCGTCGATGCAACACAGACCGCCGTCTGCCAAGACCAGGGCGCCAGCCTCCAGAGACCAGCCGCCTCCCTCCTACGAGTGTTGGCCGGGGGGGGGGGGGGGGGGGGAGAAAAGGACGAGGCCGAAAGGAGAGGGCAATGCTTAGTAGGGCGTTCAAGCAGCATCAGGAAGACGAGGGAGAGAGAGAGGAAGCAAGAAGACAAAGGGCCGGGATCGGTGCAGGGGGATTTCGTTTCGGTCGCCCGGACGCACTCGCACGGCGGAAACCGTCAAACCGGCGGTAGTGGTTCCGACACCGGTGGTCATCACACTGCGCGGGGACATCTTTGCTGCGAATTTGAGAAACTGGGATTTCCCGGTGCCCGGGTCACCAATCAACAGAAGATGCGAATGTCCACGCAGACGTGTGCCCCCCATGGCCGCCGAATCGGCGCTGAAGGGATCAGCACCGTCGGTCATGCGGCCGTCCTCCCCGCCCCCGGGGGCTGGGGCCCAGCCATGCGTATGGGGAAGATTGGGGTCCGCCGCGCCGGGAACAATGGACCCACCGGGGCCCTGGGCCACGCGGGCCACGCCGCCAATCAGGCACAAAGCTACCGACAGCTTGACATAGTACAAGCCAAAGGTTTGCGGGCAGATGGCCGAAATGATCATATTCCGGCCTTATGGGAACCATATGCATGTATGTGTGTGTGTGTGTGTGTGTGTGTGTGTGAAGAGTGAGAAGGGGGGCGGCAGAGGGATCAGAGTGAGGGGCGCCCCAGAGTGAACATGCCGACAGGCATGGGCCATACCTGCAAGCGGCTTCGCCGCAAACTGTTCCCAGTGCCTGCGAAAGAGATTGGCCTGAATGGGAGTCATGCTCCAGCCAAGTGACTGCTGCTTGTTGCTGACCTCAATGTGAATGGCTGGTGTCGGGTGAGTGTGCATGCCGCGCGACATGGCGGCAGCCAAACAAAAAGGAACATACCTCGGATGAATAGCTCGATGGTGCACCGGGAGTCCGGGGACACCGGCCGCCAGCGGCGCATCACAATGCCGCTGTTCGATTTGAGGGAGGGGAGGGGGGGGGTATAAGAAGCTTGCAGGGTGGGCTGCGGGGAAGAGAGAGAGAGAGAGACAGAAAGAGGGAAGGAAGCAAAGGGGGAAAGGGACAGGAGGCAGAGGGGTCCCACAGTGGGACGCACGTAATGACCACATCATCGCCGGCCTGGCATGAGTCCACCAAGGAGTCTTCCACGATGACGGTGATCGAGCGCGGGATGGCCCCAATGGCGCTGGTCGCACGGCGACCGGCCTGCTCCTGCACGCGAAGCTCCTGGATATCACGACACCACTCGCCGGCCGGCATGTCGCCCTGCCCGCCGGCGCCAAACCCGCCCGTAGGGCCGAAATCGCCGGAATCCTCGCCGGCCGAGACAATATTAAACTTGTTCCCCGGGCAGCCGCCCTCGGCGTCGGCCAAACCCCCGCCAGCGGCCAGGCACTTGACCGGGCGCGAGATGGCAAAGTACTGGGTGATGTCGGCCTCAACCATGAAGCGCCCATGGCACTGGGCGCACTCGAATTCCCGCTGTGTAATGAGCAGCTGGGGGGCACCGGTCTTCACAACGGTGGCTGGGAGCCCGAATGGGCCAAGGCAAGGTGTGGGGGCCGCGGGAGAGTCAGGACCCGAGGGCGCATACAGAGCCACCAGGAGCAGGGCACCCAAGCAAGGATGCACGTGCGACAGAGACGAACCATCGATCGCCAGCAACCGGTGAATGTCGTCCGTCCGGGGGATGGAGTCGCGCCGGAGCTCCGGAAACAGATGGACATTCTTCAGCCGGAGCATAATGTTCGACTTGACAGACAATCGTCGACGATTGGACGAGAGAGAGGCCAAACTTTCGGGGTCCAGGAGATCCAGGTCCCCGGAGATCTCCGAGGCTGCGGGATCCGGAAAGGCCGCCGGGTCATCGGCCGATGGCTTTTGCACTCGCGTCTGCGCCACCACCAGCGCCCGAGAGGAGATGGGGAAAATCTGCAGAGGATAGTTCACCAACAATGAGGCCAAATTGGCCTGGTAATCAAGGATATCCCGGAGGCTGTCCAAGTCGGACCGATCGTCAGAGGCACCGAAAGGGCGAGAGAGAGAGAGAGGGCATGGAGGGCAAGAAGGAAGCACGGAGGGGGGGGGGGGCGGAGCAGAAACATACTCCACCAGCAGTGAGTAGTGCTGCGAGGGGTCCGGCTCGGAGAGAATCCGCAAGATGTCATGGTGGTAGCGGTCGACGAAGAAGCTGGAAAAGGAGTCTAAGGAGCGGCGCGCACGTCAGGAAGGGCAGGCGCAAGGGAGAGGAAAGCGCCTACGGCAGGCATGCGCATGCACAGGCCCGAGGGAGTACCAATCAAGGGGGCCGTATCTGCGCCGCCTGGCGGGCAGAACGGATTGACGAATGAGAGGGACTCTCTCATCGGACACGCCTTCACGTGCGCGTCGGGTGGATCGGTGGCGAGGGAAAGCGAGGAGAGGGAAACAAAGGACCGAGCAGAGCATGTATGTGGGTGACTTCTCCTCCCCGCAAAGGAGCGACCGGCAGGCAGGTGCCCCTTCACTCGGTCGATTTTCCGGGCATGTCTCCTCCTCACTGGGGGATTGGGCTGGCCGATCTAATGGTGCCCTCCCTCAGCAGGGGGTGGGGCAATCGGACTGATCGGCGGGCTGCCTGTCTACACCCAACGGACGACCCTGGGTGGCGCCATCCCGTTCTTCGGGAGCACGCAAATGGCGTTATGGCCAGAATGCCTGGGTCCACTGGCAGAACCGCTGACAACCACAGGGCGTTCGCCACACATGTTCCCCCTCCCCCCCCCCCCGCCGTTCCCCGCGCCCGGTTCTTGGCCTCCGGCTGGGCACACGCGCGTATCTCGCCTTGTCCCCCTCCGACCAGAGAGTGCCAGGGGAGAGGGGGGACTTGAAACCGCGGCGCCCCGCCAGTTCATGAGGCTCCTCCCCCGCGTGTGCATCGTGGTCTGCCCAGTGGGTGTCCCTGCTGGTGGGGTTGAACGGCTGGCAGTACTCCCCCCCCCCCCCCCGGGCCCCAGCCCCTCGGGCCCCATCGCCTTGGGCGTGCGTGGCTCGAACCTTCCCCGCTTGCGGCTGGCCGATACACCCATACATGGTCCCGCCAGAGAGCGGCCGGGCAAGGGACCGGGTGGCAGGCCCCGGGCCGCCGGGAGGGGGCGGCTGTCGCTTGCAACCTTCCCATTTCCCCGCTGGTTCGGAACAGCACGCGTGCGGCGCGCTTTTCCCTTTCTCGCGTGTCCTCTGAAGACGGTGCCTGATGTCACTCCCCGGGGCTCGGGCTCGCGGCCACCCCCTCCCCCCCAACACCTCTTGTCGATTGTACCTCCTGCTCGCCCCCTCCCTTTTGCCCATCTTGCTGTGCCCACCTGCCTGCCGGCCTGCCTGCTCGCCTCTTCGTCCGCCCGCCCGCCCGTCCGCGCTCCTGCTTTGCTCTGCTCGAGCTCGCTCCCTACTCCTTCTTGATGCCGCAAGTTGCTGGCGGTCCTCTCCTCCGCCAGTCAACCGCATCCACAACACCCCCTTCCCCCTATGCAGTCGCACTCACCGCCTTTTTCTCGCTATCTGCCTGCTGGTCCGCGCCCCCCCCCCCCCCCCCCCTTGGCCAAACTACGTGTCCTAGCTCGTCGCTGATCTTGGGACC